ACACTCCTTAAACAAAAACCCCCCCCCCCCCAAAAAAAAAACAATAGCCTTCATTATACAAACCATAATCGGAAAATACATGGTAGAAAAAAATCCCATTTGCAATAGCAACAAAATGATTAAGTACTCAGGAAGAAAGTTAATAAGAAATGTGCAACCTATACCAAAAAAAGTTAATACACTATGGAAAGACAGTAACTTGAACTGTTCTTGGGTAGGACTCAACAATATAAAGATGTCAGTTCTCCCCACGATAACTTATAAATTGAATGTAATCACAATAAAAATGTCAACAAGGTAACAGACAAGTTGATATTAAAGTTTGTATAGGAAAACAAAAATGTACTGGATTTCCACATGGCTGACCATGGTTTGAGTCCCGGACCTGGTGGCTTGCTTTTTCACTTTCTTTGCCTTTCCCTGGTCAAATTAAAATAATAATAATAACAGCAATAATAACAAATGGAAGTAAATAAATAATTCTTTTTTTTAAAGAAAAGGAAGCAAAACATTAAAAAAAAAACCCACAAAACTACAAGGGGACATAAGCCCTACTGAACATTAAAACATGCCATATAAAAGCCTTAGAAATGAAGACACTAAGATACTGTGCATGCATAGACAGAGACCGGTTCCAGAACTTGACTCAAGTACATACAGAAATTTAAAATACGGGAAAGACAGAATATCTCAAATCACTGGAGGTAAGAACCAGCAGATGGCATAATGGTTATGTCCATGGACTCCCACGTAGTTAACCACAGTTCGAGTCCCGGACCCAGCGGCTTAAAACTCACATGAGGTACATGAATGTATGTCCCCAAAATCCCAAAAGCAGGAGCAACTCAAGTGTCCTCTGAAAGATGAACAGTTAAACAAAATGTGCTATATACATAACAATGAAATATTATTCAGCCTTAAAAAGGCAATTCTGACACACAGAGGATCCTCGAAGACATTATGCTCAGTGAAATAATGCAGGCACGAAGGACAAATATTGTATGATCCTTTTATTTTTTTAATTATTTACCTTTATTTGTTATTAATATTATTTAAATTTGACTAGAGAGAGAGAGAGAGGGAAAGTGAAAAAGTAAGCCACCAGGTCCAGGACTCAAATCGTGGTCGGCCATGTGGGAGTGTCCAGCGCCTTAACCACCATGCCACCTGCCGGCCCCTGTATGATCCTACTAATATAAAGTACCCAAAACAGTCACATGCATAGAAACAGAAAGTAGAATGGTGGCCAACAGGGGCTTGGGGGTGGGGAAAATAGGGAGTTACTATTTAACAGGTACAAAGTTTGTTTTTGTTTTTTTTGTTTATTTTTTGGGGGGTTTTTTTGGAGAGGTTTTCGCTATAGGGCGCATGCGCTCGCCAGACAGACAGACAGAGAGAGAGACAGAGAGATAGAACCCGAGAAATCATCCCCCAGGGAGGATGGCCATGCCGCAATCCCTTCTCCTCCATTCTCCTCTCGGGATCTTGGGCACGCACGCACACACGCCTGGCGTGAGTTTAAGCCACCAGGTCCGGGAAGCAAACCGCGGTCGACTATGTGGGAGTCCAGTGACATAGCCATTACGCTAACTGCTGGTTTCCAAAGTTTGTTTTTGTTTTTAAGAGAGATTTTTGCTATCTGGTACATGCTCTTGCCAGAGAGACAGAGACAACAAGTGAGAAATCACCCCTCAAGGAGGATGGCCACGCCGTAATCCCTTCTCCTCCATTCTCCTCTCGGGATCTTGGGCACGCACACGCTCCCGGCGTGAGTTTTAAGCCACCAGGTTCAGGACTTAAACTACGATCAACTACACGAGTCCAGCAATGAAACAATTATGCCCTCTGCTGGTCCCAGTACAGAATTTCTGATTGGAAAAAAAAGGAGTTCTGGAGGTAGAAGGCGATGATGGTTCGACAACAGTGTGGGTCTATTTAACACCGAAAAGCGTTACGATGAAAAAAGTGACTAAAAGGTAAATCATACATTATGTATATTTTACCACAGTTAACAAAAAAAAACCGCTAAGGCACAGAAAAACATAATTCTGATGGAAAAACGCAAAAAAGATATGAATAGATGATGAACAAAAGAAGATATACAATTGACTGTCAAACATCTGAAAAAAATTTCAAACTCACTCATAACTAGACAAATGAGTATTAAAACAGTACGGGGGAGGGGGGAACAGCAGTTAGTGTAATGGCTGTCTCGCTGGACTCCCATGCAGTCAACTGCGGAAGGAGCCGGGGAGACAGAAAGCAAGAAATAGCCACAATCCCTTCTCCTCCATTCTCCTCTCAGGATCTTGGGCACGCATGCACACGCACCCGGCGTGAGTTTAAGCCACCGGGTCCGGGACTCAAACCATGGTCAGCTACATGGAGTCCACCGACATAGCCATTACACCAACTGTTGGTCCCAACAAAATAATTCTTAAAAAAATAAATAAATAAAGATAAAAACAGTACTGGGGTCCAGACAGTGGCATGGTGGGCAACGTGACCGAATCCCACATGGCTGACTTTGCTGTTCACATCCCCAGACCTGGTGGCTTGAAAAACACACCTGGCATGTGTGTGTGTCCAAAATCCTGAGAGAAAGGACTACAACATAGCCACCTCCCCCCCCCCGCCCGGGGGGGGATTCTCACTCCCCTTTTTTGAGTGTATTCTCACTCCCCCCATCTTTCTGTTTCTCCCTGGCACCCCATGTACCTTATAGCAAATTAAAAACTAAAAACAAACACCAGCCCGAAGACCCCCATTTGTCACCTAACATACCAGGAGAAATGAAGGAGAACAGCTCTGTTCCACAGCGACCAACACCCCCGTTGGTAGGGCTGCGGGAACAGGCACTATTCTCACGGAGTTGGTAGGACCACAAACAGAGGCGACCCTTCTGGAGGAGACTCTGATCATCTGGGAGGTTGTTTCCATACCCTCCAGGAGTGAAGAATGGCTTTCATGTTTCTTTTTAAAAATGCCATAGTGTGCACGGACTCACAGAGAGAGAAAAAGCACCCCTCGGTGGGTGTGGTCATACCGCAAACCCTTGTCCCCCATTTCTCATCCTTTCCAGACTTTGAACACACACATATACCTGATACTATTGTTTTTTTTGGAGAGATTTTGCTATAGGGCGCGTACGGTTGCCAGACAGAGACAGACAGAAAGCAAGAAATCACCCCCCAAGGGGGGATGGCCACGCCGCAATCCCTTCTCCTCCATTCTCCTCTCGGGATCTTGGGCAGGCACGCACACGTGCCTGGCGTGAGTTTAAGCCACCAGGTCCGGGACTTGAACCACGGTCAACTACGTGGGAGTCCAGCGACATAGCCATTATGTTAACTGCTGGTCCTATTATTATTTATTTTATAACACATTATAATGATATAAATAATATTATATTTACGAGTTTGCTGATCCCTAAAGGAGATCATTTTAGTCACAGTAATAAATCATACAGAAAGAATCTTAGCTGCGTGGAACCTGACCATCACATTCACACTTTGTAATAACCCAGTTAAGTGGCTCCCAAAGTCACTGTGCAGAGGGTGTCAGGGAGCTGTCTGGCCAGGCCCACCGTCCGCTGGAAGGCGGTACAGCAGAGTGGTCAGGATTTGCATTCTCGGGGCGGCAGGTGGTGTGATGGATAAGGAGGCATTGGACTCCCACACGGCTGACTGCGGTTCGAGGATCGAACCTGGTGGCTTGCTTTCTCACTTTCCCTTTCTCTCTCTCTCTTCTTGAATTTAAAAATAATAATAGTAAAAATGCAAAGAAAAATAATTAAAGAAAAAAAAGAAAAGATTTTCGGTCTGGAGCCAGGCTGCCCCCCTGGGTGACTTTGCGCAAGTCGCGTCGCCATCCCTCGGCCTCAGTTTCCACCCCTGTGAACGGCACTAATAATACTCACCTCGCATGGCTGCTGTGAAGGTGAGGGGAAGGACGTGTAGACAGGGCTGGAGTCAGGCTCTGCACCCCGTAAACTGAATCAATGGGGTTCCTGCTGCGGTCGCTCTGAACCACGCCGGAGGCCCGAACCCATGAAGGCTCCCCAGGGGCACCGAGAGAGCCGCGAAGAGGCCCGCGGGACAGGCTGGAGGCCCGGCCTCGGTCTCCCCGATTGGGGCTCTGGGGCTCCCCGAGAAGCCTGCAGCGCCCTCACGTGACTGCCTCGAGCTGGCAGCCCCTCCGGCCCGCGCCCGGGACTCAGCCAAGCCGGGCCCCCACACCGGGGATGCCCCCAAACAGACAGCCCAGGAACTCACCGAGCGTCTCCACGGCAACGGCCCGTCCGCCCCGGCCCCCGCGCCCGCCGGCCGCGCGCCTGGCCATAAGGCGG